TACTCAGGAGGTTGAGGCAGGGGAATCACTTGAACCCAGGAGGCAGAGGTTGCTGTGAGCCTAGATCACGCCACTGTGCCACTGTACTTCAGTCTGGGCAACACAACGAGACTGTGTCTCACAAAAAAAAAAAAAAAGAAAAAGAAAAAAAAGAAATTGTAAAAATACTTCTCAATAACTAATAACTTTTAAAATCATAATTGAAAAATAACAATAGTTGAAACTGAACAAAAAGACTACATATACAACTTGTGTGATGCAATGAAAGGAGAGAAAACCTATAGCCCTAAATGTTTACATTAAAAAAGAGAAAGGCTGAAGATGAGCGAAGCATCTACCTTAAGAAGATAGAAAAAGGCCAGTTGCAGTGGCTCACGCCTATAATCCCAGCACTTTGGGAGGCCAAAGTAGGCGGATCACCTGAGGTCAGGAGTTCGAGACCAGCCTGGCCAACATGATGAAACCTCATCTTTACTAAAAATACAAAAATTAGCCGTGCCTGGTGGTGAGCGCCTGTAATCCCAGCTGCTTGGGAGGTTGAGGCCAGAGAATCGCTTGAACCCCGCAAGGCAGAGGTTGCAGTGAGGTGAGATTATACCACTGCACTCCACCCTGGGCGACAAGAGCAAGACTCTGTCTCAGGAAAAAAAAAAAAAGAAAAAAGAAGATCGAAAAAAAACAACAGAATAAATGCAAGTTGACTAGAATGAAGGAGATGATACAGATAATATTAAAAATTAATGAAATAAGACTGAAATTCCATCAAGGAAAAAAGAAGGAGAAGTATCAGAAATGGGAAAGGAAGGTGCCACTACATATCCAGCAGATATTAAAGATAATGAGAGAAAGATATGAATAACTTTATTCAATAAATATGAAAACACAGAAAAAATGAACAAATTCTTTTAAAATCCCGATAAATTGGCTGGGCGCGATGGCTCACGCCTGTAATCCCAGCACTTTGGGAGGCTGAGGCAGGCGGATCACTTGAGGTCAGGAGTGCGAGACCAGCCTAGCCAACATGGTGAAACCCCGTCTCTACCAAAAAACACAAAAAAATAGCTGGGCATGGTGGCACATGCCTGTGGTCTCAGCTACATAGGAGGCTGAGGCAGGAGAATCGTTTGAACCTTGGAAGCAGAGGTTACAGTGAGCTGAGATGGCACCACTGCACTCCAGCCTGGGTGAAGGAATGAGATTCTGTCTCAAAAAAAATAGTTAATAAATTAATTACATAAAATCCTGATAAATCATCCTGATAAATGGTCATTTATCAAAATGAATTCAGAAAGAAAGATAAATCTTTTTTTTTTTTTTTTTGAGACACATCTTGCTCTGTCACCCAAGCTGGAGTGCAGTGGCCCAATCTCGGCTCAGTGCAATTTCCGCCTCCTGGATTCAAGTGATTCTCCTACCTCAAGCAATTCCCTCTTGCCTTGGCTTCCTGAAGTGCTGGGATTAGAGGTGTGAGCCATCATGCCCAGTGTATGCTTGTTTATTTTTATAATCATTTTATTTTTTAAATTTTCTTACAGAGACAGGGTTTCACCATGTTGGTCAGGCTGGTTCTGAACTCCTGACCTCAAGTGATCCACCCACCTCAACCTCCCAAAGTGCTGGGATTACAGGCATGAGCCACCGTGCCTGGCCATCATATTAAATTTATAACAAACTAGCTTGAATCAATAACAACTGAGCTTAGGCTAGGCGCAGTGGCTTACGCCTGTAATCCCAGCACTTTGGGAGGCCAAGGCAGGTGGATCACCTGAGGTCAGGAGTTCAAGACCAGCCTGACCAACATGGAGAAACCCC